CAGAGATAGCCAATAAGCCCAACCACCAGCCAACTGTCGTATACCCAATATACCATCTGTGTATTCATTTAGGACTAAAGGGTGCCAGAGTCAAACAGGATGAAGAATATATATATATATATATATATATATATATATATATATATATATATAGAGAGAGAGAGAGAGAGAGAGAGAGACAGAGAGACAGAGAGAGAGAGAGATGTGTGTTTATAGACCTTAAGTGTTGAACATCAAAAATTTAAAATCTGCTCTATGAAATGCTTCAAAATTCACAAAGTTTTGAGTGCTACATACACCCACAGTGTCATTGAGAGCACTCTGGATTCCTGAATTTCCATAGTTCGGGTGGACACTTGCCTTAAACTGTGTGGAAGAAGAATACAGATCAGAACAAGGAGCTACAAAGGATTTTGCTGTTTGGTTGTTTTTGAGGTAGAGTCTTACTAAGCAATTCTCAGAATGGCCTGGAACTCACTCTGTAGATGAGGCTGCCCTCACGCTCACAGAAATCCTCCTGCTTCTGCACCTCAACTGCTAGAATTAAAGGGATGTGCTACCATATCTGGTCTAACATTATTTACCCGGTTTAAAAAAATAAGTAAGTCTATAATTACAAGCAGTTGTGTTATTTACCCAAAAAATTTTCTCTAGAAATATAAGTAAAAGCAGTGCCTATACTTCACAAATGTCTACTCACAGATTATTTTAAAGGTAAAGTGAGATGAAAAGATAACATAAGGGAGATTTTAGAGTAATGAAAATGTTTAAATACTATGCTTCCTCCTCCTCCCCCTTGAAGGAAAGGTGAGGTTCTGAATAGACCCTCCAACACAGTTGGAGAGAGAATAGCTCCTTTCAGTGAAGGTCAGCACAGTATATAGGGACCATATGGGAAGTGCTCTGGAATAATTAAAACAGCAGTTGTATATACAAGGTTCTTTTGTGCACCAGGAATACATCCTGGTTCCACTGCCTGAGGTCCCTTAGACTGCGAAGTCCTTCTAGCTGAGACCCATGTTCCCATGGAGGGCACTCCCTTAACCTAGAGACAGGAAAGAAGTCCTAGTCCCTACTTCAAATGACTTGACAGATTTATATGTCCCCACCTGGATGGCATTGCCCTACATGTGGAATTGGGTGGGGGGATGGGAGGGGAGGGTGGTCAGGGTACATGTGAAGGGGGAGAGAGGGTAAGAGGTAGGGAGGGAGGGAGAGGGAGAGAACTGGGATCGACATCTAAAAGAAAATAATAATAATACTAATAGTAATAATAATAATAATAATAATAATAATAACAATGATAATAACAGCAGTCTTAAATGCAGATCCAATTAGCTGAACCATAAGTCAGAATCACATTCAACAGCTCTCATCATGTTATCCTACTGTCTGTCAGCTTATGTCTAATATGTGCCCTGAACACTGCACAGATTTGAACAGAGCATGGTGTTTTTGAAGCTTTTCAACAAATTAGAAGTTTATTAAAATAACAGCATAAGGTACATATATAAATACTCACACCTTGAATTCCCTCAGCTTTACACCTATGTAAAGAATTCTGATATTTTCAAGGTTTTCTTTTTAAATTGGCGTGTGTGTGTGTGTGTGTGTGTGTGTGTGTGTGTGTGTGTGTGTGTCTTTCTTTCTTTCTTCCTCTTATTCTTTCTTTCTACCTTTCTATCAACATGGGGGTCATGTCCATGAAAGGTACAGTGGCCAATGAGGCCAGAGGCATTGGATCCTCTAAAGATGAAGTTTACATGGACCTTGAGCTATTCAGTATGTGTGCTAGGAACTGAACTCAGGTCCTCTGCAACAGCAATATGTGCTTTTAAAAGCTGAGTCACCTGTTCATCTCAAAAACAATTCTGATTTTTAAAATAGGAAGGTCATAAATTTGAGTGGAATGGTGCTTATTTTTATATTTATATGTTCAATGTGGAAGGCAGGATACAAGCTCTAGAGAAATTTTACCTGGGTAAATAACACAACTCTCAAGATGTATTTTACATAAAACCGAAAGAAAAAACAACAGAACCACACACAATGCCAAACTATTATCTACTGTATATAGCCACACAAGTTAAACAAAGGTTGCTGTTGGTATTTAGGAGTCACTGATAGGATTGAGGGAGGATGATGTGCATATGCTTTTTGTGTTTCTATGTTAGCTTGTCATTTTTTGTGTTGCATTTTATTTTGTTTTCTGAAATGGTTTCATTATGTACCCCTAGCTGGCCTGGAATTGGGTATGCATACCCAATTACCTGAAAATGAAAATGATTTCCCTTTTTGACTCAGAGTATGATTCAAACGTGTCTGACAACATACACAGATATTTTTGGAAATTTGTGACCATATACTTCCCAATAATCCAACTTAACCAGTATGATAAACGTATTTACAGAGTGACATCTCCCATCACCTTATCATACTGGTTAATGAATAAAGTATTGTTGGTCAATAGGAAAGCAAGACAGGTAGTACTAGGAGACAAGAAGGATTCCAGGAAGTAGTAAGGAGGAGTCAGCATGGAGAGACTGGGGAGACCAGATGCCGGCCCCATTCCCCGTAAGATGAAACCACTTGGAAATTCTTAGATTAACAGAAATGGGTTAATACTTAAGAAAGAACTAGCCAATAAGAAACTAGTACCTGGCCAACAGCATTATATCAAATATAGAGTCTCTGTGTGTTATTTGGGGCTAGGGTGGTGGTGGGCCCAGGCGCCGGGGGGAAAAAACCTACTACATACATGAAGGTTTGCAATGTGAAAGTGCTTGATTTAAGTCAGAGCCACATAGGTCATGGCCAACCATGAAATGTTCTAGTCACACAGTTTGGGAGACACAGTTTGGGAGGTTTTATTTTGTTTTGATTTTTAGTTTTTTGAAAGAGCATCTCTCTGTGTGTAGCTCTGGCTATCCTGGAAATCACTCTGTAGACCAGGCTAGACACAAAATCAGAGATCTACATGTCTTTGCCTCCCAAGTGCTAGGACTAAAGCCATACACCAACACTGCCCAAGTAAAAGTCAGATTATAAAAGTAAACAAATTCATAAAATACTGTGGAGAATCAGAAATTACTTTTGAATTCTTCAAGTTGAAGACTCAAATATCACCATGTATTAAATATATAATCCAGATGACTGATACCCCTATCATTTTACAAATTCATCATTCCCAATTGTGATTATGCTTCCAAAGGTAAAAAAAAAATCAACAAAATCAGCAACAAAAGGAACTTAAACACCAGGGAATTCCTGTTTCAAGTACAGTAAATCTTACAGAGTGTGTACCATCCCAACAAATGGTCTACAGAGACGATCAAAGCATGGTTGACCCATCATAGTGGCATCGTCTATATATTTGTCCCACTCCAAGCATTGTTACTACTTGAAGTCTTCAATATTTGCAGTGTAATATATATTTACATTTTAGTGAAATATGACTCCCAAAATGATTGCTGACGTCCATAGGTAGTTGAAGGTATATTCTACCCATGAAGATTTCTCTTTAATTCCACTTCAACTGGAAAGCACAATGCAAATGATTAGCTCTTTGGAAGTCATTAAAATGCTAACTTAGTAAATCACCAGCAGAGGTACTAAATACATCTTTGAAGGGCTAAGCTCCCTGGGATTATTACAGTCATCAAACTCTAGACCTTGTCTTAACTTTTAAATCAATACTCTGAAATTTGCTTGATAATTAAAATAACCATTCAAAAATTCTTAAAGTATTGTTAATATGTAGTCACAATGCTATTCCACTTAAATACTTCTCATTCATTCTCCCCAAAAATTACTAATGGTACCTTATTAATAGCACTGTGCCTTTAAAGGACCTGTCAGGACACTTCCCTGAGAAAATGAAGTATCAGTCATTTTCATTAATGCTAATAAGCCAAAACCCAGAGTTAATGAAACAATTTCAAATAAAATCACCACTACAAAATCCTAAATACTGTTGGGTGAAAATGTTAATTTAAACTAAACTAAACTATTATATACAATATATATGGATACATGATATGTATTTAAAATATGGGTTATAAAAAACACTACCTCTGCCAAATGCTGTCTTTATAAAATCAGGTGAATATCCTGCTTTAGTTAGTCTGCAAACAAAAAACAAATATATCTATGTTACTCATCAGAAAGAAACACCACATTTTAGGCAAAGGCCAATTCCAAAGCAGTTCCAAGCTCAAAATCTACTGAAAAAAAAAAGAAAAGAAAGAGAACAACCACTGATCTGCCCAGATCCATTTCTACAGTTCCACACTTCTTATGGAGGTCTGGCTTCTTCTTAGAGGTGCTCATGTTTACAACTGGATGTTTCTATAAATTGTACTTGGTTGAGTGCTATCTTACAGAGTATACATACATTCATGAAGTAGAACATACTAGATAAACTAGTAGAAATGTGTCATTTTATGACTAAGGAAACTGAGGCAGGGGCTTTAACTGACTCTGAAAGGAAAAGGTCAGGGCAACAGTGCAGAACTGCTCTGAGTTACCCACACTTCCCCTTGTAAAATTTAAAATTCCACTAAATGAGGAGACTATTGCATTTCTAAAGTTTGTATCTTTAAGTGTTACATTTCTAAAAAAGTGCTACTTAATTCCTATTTCTTAGACTTGAAATAGAACAGCTTTATTTACTAGGAATGAAGTACTCTGAGAAAGCATCACAGTGTCAGAAAGGCATCCTTTCTTTTGCCCACTCTTGTTTTTTCTACACTCATCATTCTGTAATGTTTTTACCTGACACTTTTAATAGTGTGATTTGTAAAAGCATCTTGAAGTGTCCCTGAACTAACCAAACAAAAGTATTTCACGCAAATTAAACTTCATAGTACTAAAACTGACCAGATATTTTAAAACATTATGAAATTTACTACATTTATTTTTAAAAAATATATTTATACAAGTATTACACAATGAAGAAACTATTTCAAATAAAGTATTCTTATGAATACTTACTTTTGTCTCATCAGAGCATTTTTTCTCTTTAATTCATTGACGTTGCTTTCCAAAGTACGAGCTTCCAGCTTGAAGTAAATAATAGATTTTGAAACTATATCTATAAAATCTCAAATGTCTAGAGCATGATGGCATATAACTTCACGACTAAAAACAGGTTAAGAATCTGCACTTATCTTTTTTCACCCCCATCACCATGCTTCTTTCAGTGACCCCCATCTCCTGACTTCTGCTGGAGTGCCAGACCTCTCCCAGAATGCCTATCCATGCAGGACCACACTGAGTCCCTGCCTACCTGATCTTTGGCCCTCATGACCGGGACCCTGCTGGAGGTGAATCTGGGACCAGTTCAGGTCCAATTCCTGCCATACCCTTCCCTGGAAACTTCCAGGTTAGCCCTGAATGTAGCTCCCACCTACATCCAGTAGCCATCGAGAACACTCCTAGAACTTTGATCCACAAACCACCCACCCAGAATCTGCCCTTACCCCAACCTGTGCCCTAACTAGGCCACTGTCCCACTGCTTTCATTGAGCACTGGACCACAGAGCAGGCCCAATAATCCCGCCAACTTCAGGGAACTTCCTGGATCTATTCTGAGCACACTAAACCACATCAAGTCCCCTCCTGCATAATCTTTGAATCCCATCGCCTGGCCTCTGTCTGATACCTAAATAGCCAGGCCTCTGCCAGAGACCAGACTATCCATGCTGGACAACTGAGTCCCTGCCTACCTGATCATTGACCCCAATTGCCAGGCCCCTGCCTGAGAGGTAAGCTCCTAGAGAGTTTGGACCACACAGAGATACAGACATCGAACTCCTGACACACTTAAGCCCACTGGGGGAGTAGCATAAACAGGAGAGAAACCCCACATGTACCCATTGGAAGAAGTGAAGGTAAGGTGACAATACAAGAAAACACCTAACAATAGAAAGACAAGAAGGAAGTCATCAGAATCTAGGGAATCTACACCAACTACTAGACCTGAAGACTTGAAAGCAGATGAAGCAGAAGAGGAGGACTTAGAAAATATCGTCATAAAAATGACAGAGGCACTCAGAGACTATACGAGAAAATCCCTTAGAGAATTGAAAGGAAAAATATGCAAAAAAAATGGAAAAAAATGAAGAAATTTCTTAAAGAAAGTAAGAAAAGTCAAGAAAAAAAACAGATGAAGGAAATAATTCCAACAGTTCAAAACCTGAAAACTGAAATAGAGACAATCAAGAAAACACAAACTGAGGGAATGCTGGAAATAGAAAAATTGCACAAATAATAAGAACTATAGATGTAAGCATAACCAACAAAAACCAAGAGATGTAAGAGAGAATCTCGGGCACTGAAGATAAACAGGAGGAAATGATTCATTGACCAAAGAAAATCTTAACTCCAACAACTCCTTAACAGAAAACACCCAAGAAATGTTGGACACTGTGAAAAGGCCAACTCTATCAATAATATGTATAGAAGAACTTGAAAAAGCCCAGCTCAAAGGGGCAGAAATCATGTTCAACAAAATCAATGAAGAAAACTTATCCAAGTTGGAAAGGATATGTCCATGAAAATACAAGAAGCATATCGAACAACAAATAAACTGGACCAAGGAAAAAGAACCCCTCGACATATATAATCAAACATATGAATGAAGAAAGAATTTTAAGAGCAGCAAAGAAAAAAGAACAGGTAACATATAAAGGCAGACCAGCCAAAATTACACCGGACTTTTCCATGGAAACTCTCAGGGACCATAGGTCCTGGATATGTGGTTCTAAAAGTGCTAAAAGTCCATGGATGCCACCCCAGGATACTATGCCAGCAAAACTCCCAATCACTATAGACAGAAAAAAAGAATCAGCCGGATTTTCACAATACATATCTACATATCCAGGCCTACAGAAACTTCTGTAAAGAAAACTCCAACACAAGGAAGTTATCTAGGCTCATGAAGACATAGGCAATAGTTGACCCCAATTCATCAGAACCCAACTTAAAAACAGGGCAAATATATTCAGAATACCATGGCCAACAAAATATCTAAAGCAAAAAAGCATTAACAATCAATGGTACTTACTTTCCCTCAACATTAATGGTATTAAATCACATATAAAATGACACAGGCTAAATGGATAGCAGGACAGAATCCATCTTTCTGCTGAATACAAGAAACACAGATAAGCTTCAAAAGCAAACATTAACCCATAGCAAAGGGTAGTGAAAAGAACTTCCAATCAAATGGACCCAAGAAACAAGCAGGTGTGGCTCTCCTAATATGTAATAAGTTAGATTTTTAACCAAAAATCAATCAAAACAGATGAATAAAGTCATTTCGTATTCATCGTAGAGAAACCCATCAGCACAAAATCTCAATTCTGGACATATATGTCCCAAATACAAAGGCACCCACATTTGTAAGAGAAGCACTACTAAAACTCAAAGTTTACATAAAACCTCACATACTCACAGTGTGATAATTCAACACCCCAATCTCACCACTAGACATTTCCACCAGATACAAACTTAACAAATAATCAAAAGAACTAACAGAAGTTATGTCTCAATTGGGTTTAGCAGTCATCTATAGAACATTCCAACCAAACGCAAAGGAATGTACCTTCCTCTCTGCTCCACATGGAACCTTCCCTAAAATCGACCACATAACAAACCTCAACAGATACAAAAAATTGGAATAGTCCCCTGTATTTTATCAGACCGCCATGCTTTCAAGCTGGAATTCAACAACAACACACCTCGCAGAAATCCTACAAACTCACAGAAACTGAACAGTGCACAATTGCACCTGGATCACAGAAGAAATAATGAAAGAAATGGAGGACTTCCTAGAATTCAACAAGAATGAGGACACAACATATGCGAACTTATCGGACACCTTGAAAGAGTGCTATGAGGGAAGTTCATTGCGCTAAGTGCCCATATGAAGAAAACTGAGAATAGTCACATTAAAGAATTAACAGCAAAACTGAAAGCCCTAGAACAAAAAGAAGCAAACTCACCCCAGAGGTATAGAAGCAAGGAAATAATTTGAGGGCTGAAATCAATAAAGTAGAATCTTGGAAAACAATACAAAACTCAATGCAATAAAGAGTTCACTTTTTGAGGAAATGAACAAGATAGACAAATCTTTATCCAAACTAACACAAAAGCAGAGAGAGAATACACAAAATAACAAAATCAGAAACAAGAAAGGAGACATAACAACCGACACTGGGGAAATCCAGACAAGTTTCAGGTCATGCTTTGAAACCCTATGCTCCAGAAAATTTAAAAACTCAAAGTAAATGGACAAATTTCTCAATAACTATCACTAACTAAAATTAAATCAAGAACAGATGAGCACCTTAAAAATACCTATAATCCCCACTGAAATAGAGGCAGTCATTGGAAGCCTCCCAACCAAAAAAGTCCAGGGCCAGATGGCTTCAGTGCTGAATTCTACCATAAATTCCAGCTAAAGCTAATAACGTAACTCCACAAATTGTTTCACAGAATAGAAGTAGAATGTTAATTACCAGACTCCTTTTGCAAGGCCACAATTACCTTGGTAACTAAGCCAAAAGAAGACACAACAAAAAAAGAGAACTAAAGACCAATATTCCTCATGAATATTGATGCAAAAATACTCAATAAAGTACTGGAAAATCGAATCCAAGAACACATCTGAGAAATCATCCAACATGACTAAATAGGCTTCATCCCTGGGTGACAGGGACAGGTCAACATATGAAAATCTATCAATGTGATCTACAATATAAACAAACTGAAAAAGGAAAACAACGTAATCATGTCACTGGATGTGAAAAACCTTTGAGATAGAGGTCTTGGAGAGATCAGGGATAACAGGAATATATCTAAATGAATAAAAGCAATATACAGTAAACCAACAGCCAACATCAAACAGAGTGGAGAGATTAAGGCAATTCCTCTAAAATCAGGAACAAGACAATGCTGCTCTCTTACTCTCAATATCTCTTCAATAATGTACTTGAAGTCCTAGTTAAAGCAATAAGACAACAAAAGGAGATCAAGAGGATACAAATTGGAAAGGAAGAAGTCAATCTGTCACTATTTGAAGGTAACATGATAGTTTACATAAGTGACCCAAAATAACTCTACCAAGAAACTCCTACCACTGACAAACACCTTCAGCAAAGTAGCAGGATACAAGATAAACTTAAAAAAATCAGTAACCCTAATTTATTCAGACGACAAAGAGGTAGAGAAAGAAATCAGAGAAACATCACCCTTTACAATAGCCACAAGCAACATAAAGTATCTTGTTGTAAAGCTTACCAAACAAGTAAAAGACCTATATAATAAGAACTTTGTGACTCTAAAGAAAGAAATTAAAGACGATACCAGAAAATGGAAAGATCTCCCATGCTCTTGGATAGGTAGGATAAACATAGTAAAAATGGAAATCTTACCACAAACATTCTCAGTTTCAATGAAATCCCTGTCAAAATCCCCACACAATTTATCACTGATCTTAAAACAATAATAATCAAGTTCATATGGAGAAAAAAATGACTGAGTATAAAAAAAACAACCCTGTACAATAAATGAACTTCAGGAGGCATGACCATCTCTGATTTCAAGCTTTACTATAGAGATGTACTCCTGAAAACAGCCTGGTATTGGCAGAAAAATATACAAGTAGATCTATATAATCAAATAAAATATCCTGACATTAACCCACACACCTACAAACAACTGATTTTTTGATAAAACACCTAAAAGCATACAATGAGCAGAGGAAATCATCTTCAAAAAATGGTGCTGGCACAACTGGATGATAGTTTGTAGATGACTGCAAATTGACCCATGTCTATAGCCATACATAAAACACAAGTCAAAATGGATCAAGGACCTCAACATAAATCCATCCACACTGAACCTCTTAGATGAGAAAGTAGGAGGTGCCCTTGAAAAATTGGTACAGGAGACTGCTTTCTTAACATACCTCCGTTAGCACAGACAATTAATAAATGGTAGCACCTGAAACTGAGAAGTTTCTGTAAGGCAAAGGACACTTGACAAGACCCAACAACAGCCCACAGACTGGGAAAAGATCTTCACCAATCATACATCGGAGAGAGGGCCGATCTCCAAAATATACAAAGAACTCAAGAAACTAGTCACCAAACACCAAATAACCTATTAAAAATGGAGCACAGATCTGAAGAGAGAAATCTCAATTGTGGAAATCAAAAAGGCTTCAAGACTCTTAAGAAAGTACTCAACATCCTTAGCTACCAAGGAAATGCAAATCAAAACAATTTTGAGATAACATCTTACCAGAAATACTAAAATTAGGAACACCATGAGAACTTATGCTGGAGAGGATATGAAGAAACAGGATAACCCCTACACTGCTGTCAGGAGTGCAAACATGTACAGCCATTTTGTAGATCATTATGGTGATTCTAAGGAAAAATGGGAATCAGTCTATCACAGGACCCAGCAATCCCACACTTAGGCATATACACAAATGATCCACATCCATGCAAAAAAGGTATCTGTTTACTATATTCATAGCAGCATTATTTGTAATTGCAAGAATCTAGAAGCAACCTAGATGCCCCTCAACAGAAGAATAGATAATGAATATGTGGCACATTTACACAATGGATTACTACTCTGCCAGAAAGAAAGAATGTAATATTGAACTTTGCAGTCAAGTGGATGGAACTTGAAGAAACCATCCTGAATGAGGTAACCCAGTAACAAAAAGAGGGACATGGTACTTATTCACTTATATGGATTTTAGACATAGAGCAAAGGATCACTGGCTTATAATTTACAGTGCCAGTGATGAGACTAGGATACAAGACATTTCTAAGAGATTCATACATGATCTCTCATGGGGGGAGGAAAAGATCTCCTGAGAATATTCAGAGTGGTGGGGCAGTAAGTGCATAGGGGACTAGGAGAAAGAGAAGGGCAGGAGAGGAAAACACATGACATGAGACTAGAAAGATTGAGTCAGGGAAGGAATAGACGAGAAAAAAGAGAGAGAGAGAAATACCACAAAATAGGGAGCCATTATAGGATTCTATAAAAAATGATTATAGAGAAATGTACAGAGACCTACAAGTCTCATCCCAATTTACAATTTGAGCAACATTTGCTAGGCTACTATAAATGGCCTTCCCTGATAAAGAGATTGATTACTTACTTATGTACAATAATTGAGCCCTCATCTAGAAGCTGATAGAAATAGAAGCAGATACACACAGCTAAACACTGAGCCAAACTGGAATCCAGATGCAGAGAGGGAGGACAAAACCAGGCTATAGAAACACATAGAGACAACTGACCTAAACAAGGAGGAGCTAATGGGTCCCAGAGTGATAGCTAGGAATCCAGCATTGGAACAACTCAGACCCCCTAAACATGGGTCTCAGAAGGCCTGGCCAGTCTAAAGGACCTCTGACAGTGTAACCAGGATGTATCCCTGATCCATAATAGGATTTTGGAGCATGTACCCCATGGAGTGATACTCCTTTCTCCTAGAGGCAAGAGGGAGGGCCTAGTTCCTACTCCAAATGATTTGACAGATTTAGATGACCCACCCAAGAACTCATCACCCTACATGTGGAGTGGGGAGATGTTATTTGAGGGTGGTGGTTGGGCATGGGAGGGTAGAAGAAAGGGAGCAGGAAGGGATGGAGCAGAAACTGGGATTCATATATAAAATAAGAAAAATAAATAAATATTATAAATAAATAAAAGAGAATTGGCACTTATTGTAGTCAATATAAAACATTTTTAATTTTGGGAATTATTCAAAAAGGGAATGAGATTTAAGCCATCCAAATGCATAAATGTAAAGCTGGAGTTTTATTGGTACTTGACAATTAATGTTGCTGTTTAAATGCAGTATCAGAGCCTAAAATCATTTGATGATGAAAATATCCAATCATAAGTGGCTAGCAGACTAACATAGAGCAAAGTCAATGGAAATGGATGGTCCTTAGGTCCATAATACTGGAAACTACAAATGTCTAAAACAGTTTCACAGAATGACAATACAGGTCAATTTTAATAAATAAATACAATCTGTACATATCACACTACTATTAAGTATAAGATCATTCACAAACACAATTGCAGCAGTTATTATTTGTATGTGTGTATTTGTTGGTAGTGTGCAGCACCATGCCCAACTTAGTTATAATAAATACCAAGAACCTGCAATACTCTCAAATAATCATTAATAAAAGCCAAACATATGGTATTCTACATGCTTCCCAGCCATTCTGTTGACTCTACAGATCAGATATAGAATATAGAGTACATTAGATAGATCAATGCAAAATGTAAGCTTACCATTTATAAGTAGCAAATACTAACACTCTTCAAATAAAAGGGACACTACTGTCAATATCTTTGCAATATACATGAGAATTGACTTTAGCCAACTAATGCACTTAACATCCACCGTAAATATAGCTTAAATATATTTTACTACTATAATTTTTTTAGCTAGGCAATGGTGGTGCACAACTTTAATCCCAGTACAAAGGAGGTAGAGGCAGGTGCATCACTAAGGCCACCTTGGTCTACAGACCTAATTCCAGGATTGCCATCAATACACAAAGAAACCTTGCCTCAAACCCCTGCTCCAAAAAGGATGTTTCTCTGTGTGTAATTATTTTCCAATTGTAATCATAAAAATCAATTTTAAACAAAAAGGAATTCAGTACAATACCCTGAGCTAGTAAAATGTTACAATTCACTTAACTGTTTTAAAATTTTATTTAGTTTTATGTGCATAAGTGTTTCTCCTGACTCTGATATACCTGGACTTATAAGGTGCTCTCTGTATGACACATAAATATGAAGATGTACACATGTTATGTGTGTGTGCATGCAGACACGAGTGTGATTGGAGGTGTCTTAAGAGGACAGAAGAGGGTCTAAATTCACCTGGAAGTAGAAGACAGGCAAATGTGAATCATCTGACTTGCTCAGAACCAAACACATCTCTGGTCCTCTGGAAGAGCAGCAAGTGCTGAGCTGAAATACTGAGCTCTCTCTCCAACCCCCAAAACTCCTTCTCAAGACTTTGTGATTTTAAAACTAATTATATTCAGAGGGAAATGTACAAGTAAAGCACAGAAATAAAAGATTAATTCTCAGTGCTTCCTATGGTCTGGCCTAAATATGATTTAAATACTGGTAAAATTAATAAAATTCATAGAAAGTGATTATTTTTAAATACCGTCTATACCTTTAACTAATATAACATGAATAGTATATGTTAGGGGACTTAAAAACTTACCCAATAGTCATGTTCCCTTTGTTCATGAGCCATAACCTAAAAAACAGTTATTAAAATTATTCATAAATAAAAAACTTTCATTGCCACCACTAAAATTCATGGCCCAAACCATAATTCCCACTGCCGAGGCATCTCTGAAGCATTATAACCATTTTGAAAGCATAATTTCACATATACAGATGATTTTCTCTTCTGAAATTTTAAACAAACCTGAACATAAGGTTTTTAATGCCAACAAACTGCAGAAGATGATCAACTACTAGAGTTTCCAAGGAACAGATAACAAGCACAACATGGGACTGTGATGGTGCCAGACAGTGCTGTGCTGTATAATACTCATTCCAAAAGAAAGGAAAGCTGCAGAAGTTTTTTATTTCAGCATCTTTGGCTCCCTGTGTATATTTCAGTTTCACAAAACACCTCAGGAGTGATGAAAGCTACAGTCCTGCATCAATTCTATCCAGTCAGAGTGCTCTAACTGCATATACAGCTGTCACTTGACACACATACCTGCACTTGATAGGAGCAAATTGTTCTCTCCAATTCTTCTTCGATATCCTTGGCACGCCGTCTACATGGAACAAATAGTTACTCCACTGTGCTGACATATAATAAAGAATAACAGCATGTGGCTACAAGAATATTACTGAGTGTTCTTCCTTATTTAATTATAACCACAAGACTCCTCTTTTGAGAGATGCTGACAGGTATTAAAAACCATCTTCTCCTCCCCTAAGTCTAATGTCAATTAAACTATGTGAGCACTATTACTTGGATGTGCCTAACACAATGTCACAAAAATTTACACAGTACAGAAGGTCTCAAGCAGCCTGTTCAGGGGCTCAGTTACAATCTTACCATGCCTCCATCCTAAGTGCAAAAGTCTCAGGCACATGCAAGCATGCTGATCATCTGGTTTTCATTTTCAGGACTCAAAATCATGAAAGATAAACTCAGATCCTATAAAATTAACAGAGTCCCAGAAAAGGAAATCGTTTTTGTTTGTTTTGTTTTGTTTGTTTGTTTGTTTGTTTACTTCAAGACAGGGTTTCTCTGTAGCCCCAACAGTCCTAGAACTGGCTCTGTAGACCAGGCTGGACTTGAACTCACAGAGATCCACCTGCCTCTGACACCAATGCTCAGCTCAGGAGAGGAACTCTTAAGAGGTAAAAGTATAACTAACTTACTGTCTTTATGAAACAAAAAAGTAATTTGTCCTTTTAGACAAAGCCCAAACTTACCCTTCCTAAGGTTGATAGAAGTGTCTTATGACTCAAGTTGCTGTGGTGATCCTCTAACAGACATTCTAGTGTTTCCTCAGGTCCACTGAGGACTGAACCAAAGACTAGCTAAGCATTTACTAAAATTCTAAGAGTGGCTTGTTCATTTCATGGCAAACTTGCTGAATGCTAATACTGTGTATATTCTTTCCCAGCTGAAAAAATATTCATGAATGAGCTTGAATTAACTGCTCATCATGTCCTTCTTGAAGACAGGGTCTCATGCAGGTCAAGCTAGTTTCAAGCTCACGATTTAGCCAATATTGGTCTTGATCTTGTGACCATTCTTTTCCACCTCCCAGTGCCAACACACACAACATCCATACCTATTTATAAACTTCTTCATGTTAACATAAAATATGCTTATACTTATATGTCAAAATCCCCAAAAAGAAAATTTTCCTTTTTATATTCTCTGAATATCAACAAAATTCCACGAAATTCAAATACAAAGTAATGAAACAAAAATATGCCAATTCACTGAGTAGTTGTGTTAGGACACACAAGCCTTTAGTCCTAGCACTTGGTAGGCATAGGCAGGCAGATCTTTGAGTTCAAGGCAAGTCTGCCTCCAGAAAGAGTTCCGGATGGGTCAGGGATACAGAGACCTTGTCTGAGATCAAACAAAACAACAACGCCATTTTATTTTACTGCTTCCTGATGCCAAGCATCAAAATAAGAAAGAGGATGTCTTACCTATAGGTGTCTAGTTCTTTGTTCACATGGTTGGTTCTCTTGTTGACTTTGAAAATTCTTCCTCTTTCTCCAATCGACAATTTTCCTCCACTGTTATTTTCCTTAAAAAAAAGAGTTTTTCATTCCTTTTAATGTATGTAATCAATATAATCAACTACAATCACAAATAGTGTATCACACAAAGCAATTGCCATACACCACAGCAAAGGCCATGTGCAAAAAAACAAGAAAAAAAAATTGTGTGTCTCTGATATGAAATTTGGCACTGGGAAAAAGTGTGGTTCCAACAAACCCTCCACTTCTGTGGAACTTCCTGGCTCTGCTCTGAACCCACTGGACCCACCTATCCACTCAGGTACACCTTGATGCTACACTTTGAACCCCACCAACTGGCCTCTGCCAGGGGGAGCAATCTCCAAGAGAACTTGGATTATCCATGGTTGCAGACATCGAACTCCTGACCCAACTACATTCACCAGGACAGCAGCGTAAAGAGAGACAGAAACTCCACCTTCACACACTGGAATAAGTGATGGGAAGACAGAAATAGAAGAAAATGCCCAACAATAGAAAGAAGAGTATGATAAACCAGAATCTAGGGACTTGACACCAAAAAGAACTAAACATATCAAAACAGATGAAGAAGAGTATGACTTAAAAAAAAAAAGTTCTTAAAAATAACACAGGCCCTCAAAGATGCTATGAAAAAAAAAATCCCTTAAAGAAATGGAAGAAATCCAGACTAATGTGGTTTGATCAAGCCAGACTGCCTGAAACAGAGTACAAGGTGATCCTACATTCAAAACAGCTGGACAAAGCAGCCTTACAGACTTCTGCCAGGATTTCTGAATCTTCTTCGAATCCCCCGTGACTGCGCCCCTTACCAGCAGGAAGTAGTTTGGAAAGAACGCCCAAATTCCCAAATATTGTGTATATATGTTTGTTTTCATTTAAATGGACTTTGTTATATAAAATAAATTAAGAAAAGAAATGCAAAAAAAAACAAACAATAAATTGGAAGAAATAGAGAAAAAGGACACAGAATATATGAATGAAATAAAAAAAAATCTCTTAAAGAAAGTATAGAAAGCAAAGAAAAACAATAAAACAGATGAAGGAAGCAATTCAAACTGTTCAAGACCTGAAAACTGATATAGAGACAATAAATAAATCCCTAATTGAGGGAACGCTTAAAACAGAAAACCTGGGTAAATGATCAGGAACTACAGACACAAGCGTAACCAACAGAATATAAGAGATTGAAGAGAGAATCTCAGGAGTTGAAGATAAACTACAGGAAATAGATTCATTGACCAAAGAAAATCTTAAATCCAACAAAACATAGTAGAAATGTGGGATAACATGAAAAGGCCAAACCAAAGAATAATAGGCAGAGAAGAAGGTGAAGAACCCCAGCTCAAAGATGCAGAAAATATATTCAAAAAAATCATTGAAGAAAACTTTCCCAATCTGAAGAGAACTTTTCCAATTTGAAGAAATTATGCTAATGAAAATACAAGAAGCATACCCAAAACCAAATACACAGGACATAAAACAAAACAAAACAAAACAAAAAAACTCCCCTTGACTCATCATAATCAAAACATCTAACATACAGAATAAATTAAAAATATAAAGGACAAGAAGAACAAAGGCCAGGTAATTTATAATGGCAGACCTATCAATCAAAATATCAAAATTACACCTGACTTCTACATGGTAACTCTCAAGGCCAGAATGTCCTGGATAGATGTTCTACAAGTTCTAAGAGTTCACAGATTCCAGCCAAGGCTACCATACCCAACAAAACTCTCAATCACTGTAGATGGAGAAAACAAGTTATTTAATGACAAAGCCAGATTTTCACAATACATATCCACAAATCCAGCCATGGAGAATGTTCTGGAAGGAAAACTCCAACACAAGGACGTTAACTACAATAACAAACAGCTAGCCAATCGATAACACCCCTTCACCAGAACCCAAATGTAAAAGCATAGGAAATATACACAACAATACCACTGCCAACAACAACAAAATGAAATCTAAAACAAATAAGAATTAACAATTAATGAATGAATGGTCCTTACTTTTCACCAACATTAATGGTCTTAACTTGCATATAAAAAGACACAGTCTAATAGAATTGACCTGAAGAAAGAATCTACCCTTTCGGTGTAAAAAAGAAACACATCTAAGCTTCAAAGACAGATACTAACCTAGAGAAAAAGGGTTGGGGAAAGAACTTCCAATCATTTGGGCCCAGGCAGCAAGAAGGTGCAGTTATCCCAATATCTACCAAGTTAGACTTCAAACCAAAATCAACCAAGAAAGATAAAGAAGGCCATTTCATACCCATCATAGGAGAAGTCCATCAGTACAAAGTCTCAATTCTGAACATCTATGCTCCATATACAAAGGCACCCACATATATAAAATAAACACTAATAAAACTGAAAGCTCACATAAACCTCACACATTACCAAACTTTTTATGGGGCTTGTTACACAAGTCACACAAATGCACAAATAAGAAAGAGAACTACAGACCAACATCACTCATGAACATTGATCCAAATATACTATATTAAATACAGGTATATTGAATCCAAATTCACATCAGAGGACTCATCCAACATGATCAAATAGGCTTCATCCCAGGGATGCAGGGATGGCTCAACTTACAAAAATCTATCAATGAGACCCACAATAAAAACAAATGGAGAAGGAATAACAACATTATAATCCCACTAAGATGCTGAAAAGGCCTTTGAAAAAATTGAACATCCTTGGAAAGATCAGGGAAAACAGAAACATACCTAAATATAATAAAAGCAATATATAGTAAATCAACAGCCAACATCATACTGAAAGGAGAGAAGCTTAAGGCAATTCCTCTAAAATGAAGAACATGACAAGACTGCCCTCTCTCTACATATCTCTTCAATAATGTACTTGAAGTTCTAGTTAAAGCAATAAGAAAACAAAGGGAGAACAAAGGGATACAAATTTGAAAGGAAGAAGTCAAAATGTCACTATTTGCAGATGATATGATAGTTTCCATAAGTGGTCCGATAAACTCTACCAGGGAACTCCTATGGCTGGAAAACACATTCAGCAAATTACCAGGATACAAGATTAAGTTAAAAAAAAAAAAAAAAAACCTTATGTCTACTATATACAGACGATGATGTGGCAAAGGAAGAATTCACAGAAACATCTAATGGATCAAAGACCTCAACATAAAACCAGCCACACTTAGAAGAGAAAGTGGGAGGCACTCTTGAACAAATTGGTACAGGAGACAGCTTCCTGAACATAACACCAGTAGCCCAGTCACTGAGATTGGTAATCCATAAATGGGACCTCCTCAAATTGAGAAGCTTCTGTAAGGCAAAGTACACAGTCAGCAAGACCAAATGGCAGTGCACAGACTGGGAAAATTCTTCACCAACCCAACATCTGACAGAGGGATGATCTCTACAATAGACAAATAACTCAAGAAACTAGTTACCAAAACAACAAATGAAGAGAGAATTCTCAATAGAGGAATCAAAAATGGCTGAAAGAGACTTAAGAAAGTGCTTAACAGTCTTTTAGCCAACAGGGAAATGCAAATCAAAACAACTTTGAGTTACCATATTATTCTTGCCAGAATGACTGAACTTAGAAACACCAATGGCAGCTTATGGTGGAAAGAATGTGGGGAAAGGGTAACACTCCTTCACTGCTGGCAGGAGTGCAAATTTGTACAGCCATTTTGGAGATCAGTATTGTGGTTCCTCAGGAAAATCGAAATCAGTTTACCACAAGCCCTGGCAATTCCACCCTTGGGCATATACACATCCATGTTAACAGAGACATCTGATCATCTGTGTTCATAGCAGCATTATTTGAAATAGCAAGAATCTGGAAGCAACCTAGAAGCCCCTCATCTGAAAATTGATAAAGATGTTGTCCATTTACACAATGGAATACTACTACTCTGCTGAAAAAAAAAAAAAAAGAACAATGGAATCTTGAAATTTGTAGGTACATGGATGGAACTTGAAGAAATCATCCTGATTGAGGTAACCCACTCATAAAAAGAGGAACATGGTATTTACTCACTTATATATGGATTTGAGACATAGAGCAAAGGATTGCCAGCATATAATTCTCACCGTGAGAGAAACTAGTATACAAGGAGGAACCAAAGACAATAATACAAGGTCCCTCACAGAAGGGGAAAGGACAGGATCCCCTGAGCATATTGGGAGTGGGTGGGGTCAGTGAGTGGAGTGTCAGGAGAAAGAGAAGGGGAGGAGCGGAGCACATGTGGGACCAGGAAGATTAAATTGGGAGACTAATACATGAGAGAGAAAAAGAAAGAGAATATAATAGAGGGAGCCATTATAAGTTTGAAGAGAAAATTGACTCAGAGACCTACAAGGATAACCCCAATTATCAATCTGAGCAATCGTAGAAAGTCTACCTTAAATTCCCTTCCCTGATAATGAGATAGATAACTAATTTATATGCCATCATTAAGCCCCCACCTAGTAGCTGATGGCAATACAAGCAGAAACTCACAGCTAAACACTGAGCTGAACTCTTGGAATCCAGTTGTAAAGAGGGATGAGTGATAAGAAAAGTGGTCAAGACCAGGCTACTGAAACCAACAGATACAGCTAACCTGAACAAGGGTCAGCTCATGGCCCCCAGACTGATAGCTGGGAAACCAGCATTGTACTGAATCAGATCCCTGAACGTGGACCTCAGTTAGAAGGCCTGGGCAGTCTAAGGGACCTCTGACAGTTATACCAGGATGTGTCTGTGGTGCATAAAAGGACTTTGGGAGCACATTCCCCGTGGAGGAATACTCCTTTAGCCTAGAAGCAGGAGGGAAGTTCTAGATACTACTCCAAATGATTAGACAGATTTTGATGTCCCCTCTTGGATGGCATCACCCTCCCTGTAGAGTTGGGGGGGGATGGGATGTGAGGGTGTGAGCGGGCCATTATGGAAGGAGGGAGTGGGAACTAGGATCAAGTTTTATTATAGTAAGTCACTATGTTTGTTAGTAAGAGGGCCAATAACTACAACTATGGCTTGTGTTGTTT